ATCAAGCATGGGCCCGGGACGAAAAGCTGCCTCGATGGCAGGGGTCGGGACCTCTGGTCGCTGATCTCCGGGGTTGGGACCTCATAGTCCAGTGCCTGGGCGTCGGGCGACGAGGACCGAGGACGCGAGCGGATCTTTCGCAGGCCTCGGCGCGGCGCCCAGGCTCTGCCGGGGGGGCCTGCCGCCGATCCAGGAATAATGGAGGATGACGATTAATAAATGACCGGGGGTCGTGTTCAGGCGGCGGCGCCCGTGATGACGATTAGAAAAAAACGGCCGCGGGCTGGAAAACTATGTCTTGAATCGTTCTCATCCAATCAGAAAGCTGTGCAGAAATCGCCGAGAATGTGTTTTGATCGTTCTCTCTCTCTCTCTCTCTCTCTCTCTCTCATTGTTTTTACTCATCGTCATCCCGCATTATCCGAGCGGGCCTCCGAGGAAGGATGGCTATGCCGTTGTTTTGCTCCTGGGCGACCCTAGCCGCTGGCTCTGGCCCTGGGTCGAGGCCACGAGCGGGTCCCCTCCTCGGGGTCTCCCGCACTCGAGGGGGCGCCCGCGTCACGCGGGCCCCGTCCCTGCTCGCGGCCGCCGCGCGGCCGCCCCCCCGCTGCTCCTCCTTCCCCTCCTCCTCCCCCTCCTCCTCCTCCTCCTCCTCCTCCTCCTCCTCCTCCTCCTCCTCCTCCTCCTCCTCCTCCTCCTCCTCCCCGCGTCGCCTGCCGGCCCTCCCCTCCAGACCCCCTCCCTCCACTCCCCTCCCCTCGGCCCCCGCTGGCAGCCGCCCACCCCAGGCGGTTCCTGCGAGGCCTCGGGCTCTGGGGCGTCGACGGCACGGCCCTTGGGCGCCCCCTGCGGTCCACGGTGGGGGGGGAGCGCGAGATCGGGCGGAGGACGGAGGAAGAGAGGTTGGAGAACGAGGGGTGGAGAAGGAGGAGGGATGAGGAGGGGGGAGGGCGTGAAAGGAATAAAAGGGAAGGAAGATGGCATGAAGGAGAGAGAGGAGGAGGAGGGTGAGGAGGGTGAAGGAAGAGGAGGACGAGGAAGCGGGAAGCATGGAGAGAGGGAGGGAGGGAGGAGCAGGAGCAAGGGGAGGAGGAGGAGGAGCAGGAGGAGCAGGAGGAGGAGGAGGACGACGAGGACGAGGATGAGGAAGAGAAGGGGGACGAGGAGGAAGAGGTAATGCTGTGAAATGACAGGAGATGATATGAAAAGAGATGGAATGAGACGAGATAATGTGATACGAGATGAGATGCTGTAAGATGAGCGAGAAACTGGAGAAAGCGCCGCCTGCGTCCTTAGCGCAAAGGGGCTCGCCGCCAAAACATGTCACCGTCAGCCCTCCCCCCCCCCCTCCCCCTCCTCCTCCTCCTCCTCCTCCTCCTCCTCCCTCCTCCTCCTCCTCCTCCTCCTCCTCCTCCGCCTCCGCCTCCGCCTCCGCCTCCGCCTCCGCCTCCGCCTCCGCCTCCGCCTCCGCCTCCTCCTCCTCCGCCTCCTCCTCCTCCTCCTCCTCCTCCGCCTCCGCCTCCGCCTCCGCCTCCTCCTCCTCCTCCTCCTCCTCCTCCGTAGCCATTTTGGCTCAAGGCTCTGAGTTCCCCAGAGGAACATGTGGATACCGCTAGTCCGCGGCTAGACTTCCGAGTTCTCATCGCACCGCTGCGTGAGTCGCCAGGCGACGCAGCTGCTTTCCTTTGCTGGTCAGCCCCAGCACTGACACCGCCAAGTTGACACCTGCGGTTGCCCTGGTGACCCGTCAGAAGTCGGCCAATGGCGCGAAGAATCAGAAATCGTCGTACACCACCTGCAGTTCCTGCGGAAGCTGGGCTTGGGATTGGCGTCTTCGGTTGCAGTATGGTAAGTGCAAAGTCTGTGGCTCCCACGTCTCAGGCTTCGAGAATGCGCCCTGGATCCGCTCGGAGCACTCCCGCGCCCCGTGGGCGAACTCCGAGAAGCCCGAGTGGTCGACCCCTGCATGGTCCCCTGCTTCCAGGGATTGGCCTCCTCTCCCGTCCAAGGCCGAGCCCGCTCAGCTCCTGCAGCAGTACCTCAAGATGGCTGGTCTCTCCTCGGACTCTACGGCGCTGGAGCTCGCTCACCAGTTCGAAAGAGGCAGCGGAGCGGGCCAAGCCGAAGCCCAAGGCGAAGTGCCCGTACGTTGTCCTGCGTGAAGCTACCCCGCTCTGTGCTCAGAAACAGGCCAAGCTCGCCAAGGCGTCCAAGCAGTTCCTCTCGGCGGAGGCCCGGCTGGAGGAGTGTAAGGGGCGCCAGCTCGTGGCAGCGGAGGAGCTCTTCGAGGCGGACCAGGCCCGCCTGGTGGCCCAGGAGGCCACGCAGGGTGGAGGTGGTGCAGGCGTCAGAGCTGAAGCTTCGGCCACTCCTGAGGTTGGCGAGGCTACCCCGGTCTTCGGAGTTGACCCCCAGCTCTTCCAGGACCTGGACGACTACGAGGAGGAGGACAAGCAAAAGTTGCTGCAGTTCCAGAAGGAGCTCGATGACATCGCCACCCAGGCCAAGGCCCGCGAGCAGCAGTTCAAGGAGCTGCTTGCCTCGGCCAAGCAGGCGCTGCGGGCCCCCCGCAAGCGGCGTCGCGCCGAGGGCGGCCAGGCCAGGGCGGACGAGGCAGAGGGCGCGGCCTCGGAGGCAGCTCCTGCCTCGTCTGCGCCCGAGGGCAATGGCAGCGGCACAGGCCCCCCCCCCTGGCCAGCCCTCGGCGGGGGAGTACGCCAAGCTGGTCGCCTCCATCGCTGCGTCCTCGCGCGAGGCCCAGCGGGCCGCTGGCCGTGGCGAGGTCGCCACTGAAGGTGCTGCTCCTGGTCGTGACGCTCCTGCTGAGCCTGCTGCCGCCCGCGAGCGCGGGTAGCACGGGCGCCCCAGTCGGAGATGCTACGGTGTTCTTTTCTAATCTCACAGAGTGGGGCCCTCAGGCCCGACGGTTCCTCACGGAGAAGTTCTACGATCATTCAGTTGTGGCCCTGGTGGAGACCTATCAAGGGGCCAACGCCCTGCCGCAGCTGGAGACCGACCTCGGCAAGGACGGATGGCAGTTGAGCTCTACTCCCGCGCGTCCCTCTGGGCGCTCGGAGTCGGGCCTCAGTAGAGGTGAATGGATCCTCACACGCAAGTTTGTTGCCAGCTCTTCTTTTCAGCGTATGCGTGCGGCCGCCCGTGCTGAAGGCCGCCAGGACCCCTGCAAAGGGTTCGTTCCGCTCACCCTGCACTTGAGGACGGGGAATGTGGCGGTGATCGCCGCCTACCTGCAGCCTGGCCTGGAGTTCCGCGGCATCAATAACGGCATCATGGTGGCACTGGCGTCCTTTACTCGGGCTCTTGCGGGCCCGTGGCTGGTTGTTGCGGATTGGAATTGTGAACCGCCCAGTCTCGTGGCCAGCGGCTGGGTTCAGCAGTTGCAGGCGCGGGTGGAGGTTCCGTTGAATTGTAAAGTGACTTGTGATAAGGGCCCTGGCCGTCTGTATGACTATGTGCTTGCCAGCCACACGTGCCCTGATTTGACGTTGCATGCTGTGCAGAGTGCCCCTTGGAAGACGCACTGCGAGATTTTGATCACCATCAAGGGCGCGCGTGAGGAGCGCTGGGCCTCGAAGTTAGTCGCGCCCAAGGCTCCGCCTACTGCCATGCGGCCGCGGGCCCAGCCCCAAACTGACAGCAAGAGGCAGCGTCGACGAGCTGCTGCACTCCAGAGGCGCAAAGAGGCTCTACCTGAGAACTTGCATGATGGCTTTGTTGCTAGTCAGGCGGAGCTCGCGACCTCGGAGCATCAGGAAGGAGAGGAGGTGCGCGCCCCCTTCTTGGAGACTGAGGATACTTGGCTGGCAGCACGGGCGGCGATGCCCCCAGGCCCTTGGGCCGCCCAGCCCCACGGTGCGTCCCTCCACGGAGGCGTGGACCCGCGGCACGGTGAGTCCCTCAATGGAGGCGTGGACCCGTGGCTGTTCGGCGCGTCCCTCCCTCGCGGAGGCGTGGACCCGAGCTGCAGCGGCTGGGAGGCCCCTGCCTCGGCACGGGCGGCGGCTGCCACTGCTATTGCCCATCTGGCCAGAGACGCACATTCCCCTGGGATGGGCACATGTGCTACTCAGATGGCAAGTCCTGCTTCACAAAGGTCTGTGCGTCGTCACGTTTTCGCGGATGGGAAGTTGGCCCAGGAGGAACGCACTGCTCGCCCCTTCGCCGCAAGGCATACTGGGGTTGAGGGTACCGACCTCCTGGGACCTCTTAGTCAGATAGCCGTGCGAGTGCCTACCACCATGGACTTGGAGGACCTCGGTAGTTTCCAGGAGGAGGAGTGGGTGCATGACCCGTTTTGCGCTGTGCAGGTTCCACCGCAGACTCCTGCCCCACAGTGCGCCCCGTCCCCCTCTGAACCCGTCTGCCTACGCGACCAAGCTGTCTTCCATCAGGATGTGCCACCCGTTCCAGCACACCAGCAAGGCGCTAGTTTGGGGAAGGCGGTAGGGCCAAGTCGTGCGCCCCAAGTGCGTTGTGGTTCAACTGTGATTGGCCCTGCGGTCGTCCCCAGCATCGAGGATCAAGCCAGGATCCGTGCACGTGCTCAGGCCTGGCGTGCTCAAGCTTGGCGGTGCCGTCCTCGGGGTGCGCTACCTGCAGTGAACCCTTCAGATTACCGCATCCTGCAGTGGCGTGCGGAAGAGCGAGAGCGCATATCTGATGAGTATGTTTGGTGGGTCTCTACTTTGGAACAGGCCATCCTCGACACTGAGGGCCTGGGCGGCGCAGATCGGCGTGCATGTGCGGGTCGCGCCGCAGGGCCCGCGGTGAAGTGGTCGAGGTTGCGGGCCACTCCTGGACGTACCCACATGAGGGACAGCTATGCCGAGTGGTGGGGCATCACCACCACTCTCTTGGTTCGTTTCCGCGCCCTCACCCGCAACGGGGCCGACCTGTGCCAGGCCCGGGACTGTCTGCCCCAACGACGGCGGCATCAGCAGACTCTGTATCTGCTGGAGAAGGACGCGTACTTTGGCAAGAAGACTACTCTCGAGCTCGCCGAGGCGTGGGTCTCGGACGCGGGCATCCTGGATGAGCTAGAGGATGATGCGCTGGACCAGGTCGTACAGCTGGCCCAGCGCTGGTCGGACTGGGCGTCTTCACGGGCAATGACGGCATCCAGGGCCAGTTTCATGGTGTGGGTGCGCAAGCAGTGGCGACGCAAACCAGGCTTAGCGCATCGCCATGTCAAGCCAGACCCTCCACCTGAATGGGAAGGTGGTGGCCCTGATGGTTGCCCCACCAGTCACCCTCAGCTTCTCTTAGAAGGCAAGCGCCAGCACTGGTCTGAGATCTGGCGCGAGAAGGTGGCTGGACCAGTTGCACTCGGACGCCTTGGAGGAAGCGCTGCCGCCCTTTGAGCTCGACCAGCTCACCTCCACCCTACGGGCCATGCCATCGAGCAAGGCTCAAGGAGTCGACGCGCTGGGGCCAAATGACGTGCTGCGACTGCCAGATATTGGCCGCCGTGCGCTGGTGAACCTTATGAATGGTATTGAGCTTTCAGGAGTGTGGCCTGTGGAAATTAGGACGGTTCTCGGTGCCTCCATTCCAAAGGAGGCTGGCGGCCACAGGGTGCTTGGTCTGATGCCTCACACGGCCAAGTTGTGGAGCAGGATGCGTTCAGCCCCGTCTTACTCTTGGACGGAGAAGCAAGGCGCCATCTGGGGCACGGCGATCGCGGGGCCCTCTGCTCTGCGAGCGGCGCTGGCTAGGGCCATCCTGGATGAATGTGGTCGCGAGTTGGGCGTGTCATACGCCACTCTCCTCCTCGATTTGCAGAAGTTCTATGATTCGATCAGTTTTGTGCTGCTGAAGGCCAGCCG